AACCTTCCTTCTGAGGAGTGGCTGGTGGGTTTGAACCACCAGCCTTCTGGTTAGCAGTCAAATGCTTTAGGCACTATGCTACCAGAGCTCCTTTGGACAGCTCAAAATGGTCTAGGAAACTCAGAAAGAGGAAATTTTTTTTCTATCCGAGGCCACTGACACTCAAGAGGGAAAGAAAATCATCAAGTTAAGAACTCATAAAAATTTGTTTTTACATAAATGTCCATGTTTTGAAAGGTCGGAATAGAGTTAAAAAATACTAGCAAAGCCCTTTTCTTTTCTACCCTAATGGACTGACTCTTACCTCATTTATGTAAATCTGTCCCAGTTCCAATGAAAGTACAGACCAGGAATTCTCTACACAATGAGAGAATATCTAATTTTTGATTCTGAATAATCAAATCTGAAATAGCCCAGATTCTGCACTTTCTCTTGGCACCCCTAGCTCACTGTCCATATACCATTTGTCCCAAGCATCATCATTCCACCTTAGCAAATATCAGTAAAGTAATCGACCCTAGGCAGGCTTGAAGCCTGAGTCTCCAAAGAGATGATACATCTGGAAACTATCTTTCAATTCATCCAGACTCACAATGAACACTCAAGACTGTACTGAAATTGTCTGCTGCAATTACTTGCTCCTGGTAAAAGCTGGCAGACATGTATCCAGAGTCTCTGGGTCAACAGAGAGATAAAAGTGTAGGGTGTCATCATCAGTTACAAATCCTTGTGAGGACCCGAGAAGTCTTACTTCCACTTGGAAGCAAGTTGTCTTGTCTCCTGAGTTTTCACATTCTTTTTCCTATTACAAAAACTTTACTTCCTCAAATTGTGTCTGATAATTCTTTCTGTCAGTGCTATCAGTGCCCTGATGAGACAACCATGCAGTCAGCAGCTATCCTCAACATTACTTTAAATCAGCAGAGTCTTCTCTTAGAAAGTATTATCCTCTTTGACATTCTTCCTAGAATGTCGAAATTCACACAGAGGCCACTCGATTGCCGATAAAATATCTAGGCTACAGGCATCTTTGAGAAGTCTGTAGAAACAACCTACCATACTGTCATGACGAATGTCCCATGAACTTATAACCAGGGATGCAAGTTCATTTGGAGCAAATACATTCTCTTTCTAGTATTTTCTAGGATAACTGAGAATTGGAATTTGGGATAAAGTATTTACAAATCACCTATTGTGTGCCAAGCACTGTGTTAGCTAGTTTATAAAAATCTCACTTAATCCTAATAGCTCTTCAAGTATTTTCATTATTACTGTCTTTTTACTATGGGGAAAAATGAAGAAACCTAGGAAGTTCACTTAAAAGCTAGTAAGTAGGTGGCAAAGCCAGAAGCTGAATCTAAGTCAATTATCTTACTATCCTATTTGATTTCCAATTGAATTTTAATGATTCATAATGATACTTGAAATAAAAGTATTCCTACTTCAATTTTCTGTAAGAAAATTGATCACTTTAACTCACAGCAGAAAATACCATGCCTGGAATCAACGTACTTTGTTGAACAGATACGTATTTTCATGACATTCTATACCAAATCTCTCTCTTTACCAATAAGATCTTATGTAATAATGGGAAAAGTAGAAAATGTTTTGCTCAATTTCTAAAGAATTTTCAAGTATATGGAATATATAAGATCCCTCCCCAACTTAACATTTCAAAATTTAGGAATAATAATCTTCCTACAAATTTTCCCAGACAGATTTGTATTAGTCTACTTTGAAGTAATGAACCTTTGAGTTTTACTAAAAAATGAAGATTTCCAAAATAGGTAATTTGCTAAAAGCACTGTAAAAATGGATTAAAGACCAAAGTCCAAAACATTTTTTCTAAATTACATTACATGGCCACATTAATATGAAAATATGGATAAATGCCAAAAGCTATCACATACAGAGCACTTACTATGTGCCATATACTTTATACATGAATTTTTACTTCCTACCTTACAAAAAGGAGCTCTGATGCCGTAGTACCCAAGGCATCTGACTGCTAACCAGAAGGCTGGAGATTCAAACCCACTAGCCACTCCTCAGAAGGAAGACTGGGCAATCTACTTCTGTAGTGATAAGGCCTTAGAAACCCAAGGAGGGGTTGCTATGAGTTGGATCTAACTCAATGGCAAAAGGAAGCTCTGGTGGTGTAGTGCCTAAGGCATCTGACTGCTAACCAGAAGGCTGGCGGTTCAAACCCACCAGCCACTGCTTGGAAGGAAGGTTGGGCAATCTACTTCCACAGAGACACAGCCTTAGAAACCAAAGGAGGGGTTGCTATGAGTCGGATGTTATATAGGTATTATTAGTTCCACTTTACAAGCAGAGAAACTATAGTGAGAAAGTACAAGTAACTTGTCCAAAGTAATAAAGCTAGAAAGTGGCGGAGCTAGAATTCAAACGAAGATTTGTCCAACAAAGCCCATGCTCCTCGTCACCACTGTTTCTTGCCTCCTAGTTCTCATCTAAGGAGACCTGGTGGCACAATGTTTAAGTGTTTGGCTTCCAACCAAAAGGTCAGTGGTTAGAACTCACCAGCAGCTATGCAGGAGAAAAAAATCTAATGATCTGTTCTTACAAAGATTACAGTCTAGGAAATCTTTCAGGCAGTTCTACACTGTCAGACAAGGTTGCTATGAGTTGAAATCAACTTGACAGCAAAAAACAACAGTTCTTATTTGATAAACATAAGCTATCCCAATTCTAAAACCATTACAGTTACATATATACTTTCTTAAACTCATCATTAACTATATGCATTAATTTGTCATAGTTCATAAAGTAAAATCATTAAGAGAAGTGTCTTAGAATTACCATTAGAAAAATTCAAGTAAGGCAATGATTTTATATAAAATCCTGAGAGGTCAAGAACAGATCATTCAAAATACAAAAGCTTTAAAACTTTTTTGTTGGTTGAGAGTTATCATTTTTAAAATGATCTGAATAGGGTAAGATCAGGAAATAATTTTAAATATTTTAAGAAAATACAAATACTGTAAATCACCAGCCTAAAATTTGAACAAAAGAACTCACTTTTTTTCTTAATGATGAACTGTGAATATTATTGTATTTTACTCTCTGTCTGAAGTTTTATTACTAATCAAATAACAGATATATCATATTATAATCTGAACAATTTTAAACTTCTGAATGGCTATTATCTCCGAGTGATTCAAATTTATTTATAGAAGTATAATGTCTAAAAAATAAGTCAAGAGTAAGCCTCCCCAAATATGAATTCTTCAATCTATCAAAGTTTGAACCTAAATACATAATTTTTAAAAAATGTCTAAGGTATAGTTACAAAATACTTTCAAAATAAAAGATAACACATTCTTCCTATTGTTTATCAAATGCATTCATTAGTTAACAGGGTAAGATAAGAGTCATTTTCTAAGACATGTCAAAGAATGAATCAACTCTTACCTCCATTGCTAAAGCTGCTGTCTGTTGGTCATAATGATTCAGAAGATTAGGCATGAAGGTAGTATTATAAGGCAAATCTTGGCACATTCTCAAGGTAATAGGTTCACAAGAAAACAAACTGTGTCCACCTGTGTGTCCCACAAACATAGTCAAGGGCCAAAGATAAAAGACAATCCAACTCATAGCCATCCTTTCAGGATTTGAATGAGATTCAAATAATCAGGCCTACACAGTATTTTAGATTTTTATACACCTTCAGGTCTCAGCTTGAAAGTACTTCTTATATATTTTACTGTTGAGTTCTTCAAACAGTTAAATACTCTTCGCACCATCAGAGCTTTGTTAGCTTGGTCTCACAAAAGGCATTTGTTTTTGGTTTCACAACGTGGGAAAATGACATCATCTTGTCTCTTCTTTTCATTTTATTACATAGGGCACATTTGGCCAACATATCAAGTTGATTAACCACATTCCCAAACAACAGATTCCATCTTAGGTAGAGGAATATTTCTTCCTTTGATTAAAATATCTGAAAAATATATTAAAAAAAAAAGAAAGAAAAGAAATGGGGGAAATTAGACATTTCCTCTCAAAATACTGTACATTTTAATATTAAGGTCTTTAATGAGAGACGTCATACTGACATAAGAGACAAAAACCAAAAACCAACTCACTACCCATCGAGTCGATTCTGACTTATAGCAACCTCCTTTGGGTTTCCAAGGCAGTAAATCTTTACAGAAGTAGATTGCCTACTCTTCCTTCTGTGGAGTGGATGGTGGGTTTAAACTGCCAACCTCCTTGTCATCAGTCAAATGCCTTAGGCCCTAAGTCACCAGAGCTCCAAAAACCAAAAAAAAAAAAAAAAAACCCCAAACTCACTGCCATCCAGTCAATTCCGACTCACAGCAACCCCTCCTTGGGTTTCCGAGGCAGTATCTCCAAGGAAGTAGATTGCCAGTCTTCCTTCCAAGAAGTGGCTGGTGGATTTGAACCACCAGCCTTCTGGTTAGCTGTCAGATGCCTTAGGCACAATGTCACCAAAGCTCAGTACTTCATGTAGATAGGTTTTTTTTTTTCCCCCCCGCAATTCCTGGGTGGTGCAAACAGTTAACACGCTCTGCTGCTAAGCAAAAGATTGGAGATTTGAGTCTACCCAGAGATGCCTCAGAAAAAAGGTCAGGCAATTCACTTCCACAAAATCAGCCACTGAAAACCCTATGGAACATAGTTCTACTCTGATACACATGAGGTCACCATGAGTCAGAATTGACTTGATGGCACCTGTTTTAAGTTTTCATTTATGCAACATGCTATGGAAACAATCCTTGAACAGCATTTAATAGCAAATATTCTTCTTTCAGTTGCTTACACAAGCTATATAGCACATCATTCAACTTGTTTATGATAGCAATTTTTCATTTGTCCCAATATATGATTGATCCATTTTGTAAAATTCTTAGCTGTTGGCCTAAATCTTATTTAAAAACATTTGTTATTTTAATCGTAACCTAAGTTATTAAATTAAATTCACTATGTTTTAATCATTATAGAGAATTTTTATATTAACTGATTTGGCAGAAGCATCTATGATACCTTGAAACAGATCTAAAAACAAGTCAAAAGATACAGATTCAAACTTCTTACTAGCTGAGTGAATATAAACACACCACTTAATTTCTCTGAACCCAGAATTTTTTTTCTTCCTTAAAATGATTCCAATATCACCTCTCACAGAAATGATGTGTGAATGAATTATAATATACACAAAAAAGTACTCTATAAATGGTAAAGCAACATCAAACATAGGTTTTATTATTTAACTATGGTTGATACAGAGGCTATGTCTATGAACCAATAATGAATTGGCAAATAGAAAGTTCTAAAAGTAATAAAGGAAATTTCCCTATGATAACATCATCATTTTAGATAGCACAAAAATTTAGTGCTGTAGATGCAGCCTCTGAATTAGAAACATCTGCCCAACAAATGACCATTACACACAATCAAGCTGCACAGAGAACAGAAATCATCCTTAAAAAAAACCACACCAGATACAGGATTGACTCCCAATTACAGTTTCCATGGAGCTTTAGAATCTTTGGACTTACCTCTACTTATCCAGTAGAAAGACCATATGAGAGTCTTGAATGGAATGGGAAGAGAGTATGGGTAGAGTACAAGGCAGATCTGTATGAAAAAAGTAAACTCTAAGCTACCATACTACGATTTGGTTTATTCATGATGCTAAATTTGCTTTTGTTCATACACATGGAGCCTTTTTTGTGTTTGATGTGGAGAACCGAGATTAGGAAAACATGAGAAATTCAGGTTCAGAAATTCTTAGAGACCCAGGTTAAAAGGAAAACTCAACTACTAGGATATGTGATAGCACAGAGGTTGAAGCCTGCAGCTGGTCTGGCTTAAGTAGGGAATAAAACTGCCCTTTCTGCATTGACTATCAATGATTGGGACCCCTGCTTTCCAAATTTTATTTACTAAGTAGAAAAAAGGAGCTCTGGTGGTATAGTGGTTAAGGTATTTGGTTGCTAACCAGAAAGTTAGTAGTTCAATCCCACTAGCAGCTCTGCAGAAGAAAGATGAGGCAGTCTACTTCTGTAAAGATTTACAGTCTTGGAAACCCAATGGGGGTTGCTATGAGTCACAATCAACTTGGTGGCAATAAGTTTGGTTTTAGTTTTTGAGGTAGAAACCTTATTTGAGGAAAATGAAGCAGAGGCTGAATCTTTTCCTTCTCAAGCAGATGTTTGTGAGTAGTAGAAGGGAAAAGGTAAGTTTGTGCCCTCTAGAATTAAGAACACTAAGGTTATGAGCAATCCCTGCCTAAAAAGTCTGACTGGGTAGGGCTCTAAATATCCCCACACTCTGTATCAGAGATCTTTGGGACAACTGCTTGACCTCCCATATTTTTTTCTTCTTCAAGTTGGCCCTTAAAAATGTGAGGTTATAGAGATCCAGCAAGATGGCGAACTAGCCAGAAAGACGACACAAACCCTTTTCAACAAAGAAAAGGGAAACCAATTAACACAGACACAGACGATAATCCTGGACCCCTGAGCCTTGAAGGGAAGGATATACAAGTGGACTAAACCCCAACTAGCAGAAGAATTTGTGTGAAAATACCAAAAAAGGAGACAGACGGAGCTGCAGTCTGGCAGCAATCCTGAGTGATCCTGACGGCACAGACA